CCGTGCCCCGCCGCGCCCCCGGGCTGCCCGTCCCCCCCGGCCGGGCTGCCCGTCCCCCCGGCCCACTGGTGGGGCACCTGCCGAGCCGAGCCGAGCTCCGGAGGCATCCTCCAGAGCAGCCCCTCCATTGCAGGACGGTCTGCACCGGGGCCCTTCAGGGGCCACGTGGGTCTGGAGGGGACTCCAGATGGGTCCAGATGTCTCTTGCCGTCATTTTAGGGTTCGGGTGGGCCTGGAGGGGACCTCAGGGTCCAGATGTTTCCAGGTGATTTCAGGGTGCAGAGGGGTCTGGAAGTGACTTCAGGGTTTAGATAGGTCTGGAGGTGACTTAGGGGTCCAGACATCTCTTGAGGTGATGCCAGGGTCCAGATGAGTCTGGAGGTGACTGACAGGTCCAGATGCTTGTCAGGTGACTTCAGGGTCCACATGTCTCTTGAGGTGATTTCAGGGTCCACATGGGTCTGAAGGTAACTGAAAGGTCCAGTGGGTCTTGGGGTGGCTAAAGGGTTTCAAATCTGTGTGATTGTTACGATCTGAATAGTATAACAGGCAAAGGGATGTGTGTGTAAATAGAGAGGGATATGTGGTGATGCATATATTTGAAAATGCACCCATATACATCTGGATAGCCCTTTGGATTTCAAACCATTCCCTTTCCCCAGGAATGATCTATATTCAGACCATTCATGCTGGAATGTAGCATTTTAAATGCAGATGTGTAAATGCAGCAAATACACAATGGATGTAGCACGCAGTATTTTTTCCCTTGAAGAAATCTCGTAGCTCCAGGTAGGGTGTGAGATTTTTAACTGGATCAAGAATCATAACCATGAGAAGAAAGTGCTTCAGAGTATATGCTTCAGGCAGTGGGTGTAAATAAAGATACATGCATTGGCTGATGCTGTTATATCTTGTAGTTCCTCTCAGAAGCAGGATTCAATATATATATATATGACTCCTACTTTTATATACTACATATATATTTATTTATATACTGCTTATATATAATACACATAGGATGAATTCCTGATTATAATAGATAGATAGGTAGATAGATGAATGGCAGGCTACTTAGGAAAGGTGCTTTCTTGCACATGCTATCTACATGCTATGACACATTGGCTGAATTACTGCTTATAGTATCATTAATATATATAGTAATATATTATATTATTATATATATATATTACTGCTTATAGTATCAGTAATATATTATATTACTGATATATTAATATAATGCATTAATTCTATATTAATATATATGTATTATAAACAGTAATTCAGCCTATGTGTGTTATAGCATGTAGATAGCATGTGCAAGAAAGCACCTTTATTAATTAGTCTGCCATCTTTAAAGACTTGCTCAAAAGCACACTGAACGGTATTGGAGATCTACCAGATTTATTAGCAGAGACCACTGCAAATAATCATCCAAGTCACTTAAGGCAGTTGTGTATTACAGGGTGTCTCTGTGCTTGCATGGGGGTGTGTGTGAGCATGTACGTATATACAGACATGTGTGCAATGTGTAGAGATAGTTGCAGATGCACAACCCCCTGCATATACCCTCGGCTGCTCTACAGAGACACATAGCTCAAGTCCTGTTGAGTTCAATGGAGTTATATTGATTTATAGCCGCCCAGGTTCTAGCCCATCGTATTTGAATAGTTCTCCGAGCGGCCGTTGTATTTGTGCCAACGGTGAATCTTGGGAATGGGAATGTGTGGAGCCCACTTTGAAGATCCTTTTTCTTGGGGAGCCATCTTCATTCAGGACGTGTGTTTTCTGACCTTTTGCTTGCCTCTTCTTTGCAGCGGGTTTTTTGGTGATCCAGACAGCTTCTCCATGTACACCAGCAACAGAGTGAAGAGAAGACCTTCTCCTTATGAAATGGATATCTCAGAGGGTAAGTACCTTTTCCTCTTCCTGCTGTGGGGTGTTTGAGGCAGAGAGACCTATAGCTGACTCTCCACGTGTTGTGCTGCGGGTTGATGGAGACACACTGTTTAAAGGAACACGTGTTGGGCTACCCCACAGGGCAGCAAAAGGGACGGTGAGATAATGTTATCGGTCCAGCCACCTGATTGCTTACCCCAGCCCTGGCCAGGACTCCCGCATAATGGAGCAAGTTAATGGCTGAGTAACTTTGCCCTCGTTCAGCAACTCATTGAGGCATGTGTTGAAATCCATCCCTGCTCTTGAGCACTTAAGTCTTATTATAGCCTTAGGGACTTAAAAGAACATGCTTAATTTTGCATGCTAAAATTGGGACCATGACACTGTGGTTCTTCCTAGCCTCCAGCTAAATACAGACAGTCAAAAAGCCAAAGGTTGGACTGATTTAATCTCCATCGGTTCAACAGACTGAAGCGATAAGCAAGCGAACAGGCATTCACTTTAAATTCCAGAAATGCAGCCAGAAGCCAGAGGGCGCTAGAGCACACCTCCCTGCTCTGCTGGAGCAGACAGCTTGGGCCAAGCCTAGCCCACCCACCCTGCAAGGGGGGGCTTGCGGGGGAGGTGCAAAGCATCCTGGGATGCTGGCAGACTGTAAGTTCACTTGAACCTGGAGGGGATCTGGGACAGAAGTTCAATAAACCGGTCTAATTTAAATCAGTTTTGTCTGATACTACATCCACATCCAGG